TTTTTTTTTTTTTTTTTGTTTCATTTGTGGAAAGTTAAAGTTCCATAAAAGATTAAATTCTTCATCTAACAAGTTATCCCTGGAAGAGTGAATACTCTTGATAGATATATAAGGAAGATATCTTCATTGGTTGGTCTGTTGTGTTGCATAATTTGTTAGAAGGCTTAAGAAGACGTGGATGTATCAAGTGGAGATGTGATTTCATCCGGTCCGTTAGAGATATTTTTTAGGTGTTTGGTTTTCAGTGTGCCAGCAGATATGTGGTAGGGTGATGATTGAGGAGTCCTTTTCCATCTGGATTTTCGTGAGAAGGGAAGGTTTTCGTGGCAAGTTGGGTTGTGCGCCTTGATATGGGGATTTGGGTGAGAGAAAAATAGAATCTTTCGAGGAGTTGAACGGAACCCTTCTAAGGCGTGGTCCTTTGTGAGGTTCAATGTTTCTCTTTGGGCATTAGTGACGAAACATTTGTGAGAGTACTAGTATGGTATGCTATGGAATATATATGGAGATTTAGTAGCATGTTAGGCATAGTGGCAATTAGTTAAGGGTGTCTTGGTTATAAATAGGAGTGTTGGGGACCTTAAAAGGTGCAGAGCATTTTGGTGGAGCGTCCGTTCTGGGACTTGGGAGAGAGATAGTCTTCTCAAAAGGCTTGGGACTTGGGAGAGAGATAGTCTTCTCAAAAGGCTATTGTTATATTGCAGTTTCTCTTCGATATTGCAAGATTATCTCGTCTTTTTCTACATATTTGGGTACCTAATAGCTTTTTTGTAATTACTCTTTAACTTATCTTACTGGATTGGAGTCCCCTTCTTTAATGGGACTTCCTTTTATGGGCTTTTTTTAAGCCCAGGTATTCTTTCATTTTTCTCAATGAAAGTTGGTACTGCCTCAGAAAAAAAAGGGGGGGGGGGGGAAGGCATCACTCTCATATTAAAGATCTCCAAAATAGGCTTTGACAGATTGACAGTCAGGTCTTTGCATGAGTTTCTTTTCTATTAGCAGCATGGTCTGTAAATATTGTTAAGTCAGTCTTATCATGAAGTCTTATGAAGACGTTATAATTTCAGCATCTTGCTGGGCTGATCCTCTCTAAGCAGGTCTCCTTTGTAAGGCATCACATCACTTTCTTATGATGTTCTTATTCTCTTGATCTATGAAGGCTTAATTTTAATATCTTTGGCTTGGAAATGGTTTCCAACATGATAGGTAGGAACTAATTTTGCAGTGGAAATTCGTAGAAAGTTAGTATAGAAATGATAAAAGAAAAGATGTGGAGCCTCCAAAAATAACTATACTCCGATTTCTCTCTACCTCCAAACTTTCAATACCTTTCATAAACCATCTCCCGATGATACAAAAATGCCTTCCTAATATCCTATTAATATTCTTAATATTTCCCTACTAATATCCCTAACACTAGTTCGCCCCGAAACCCACCTAGTCCTTCCTAACACCCTAGAAACGCCAAAAAAATTATGTATTGCGATTCTTTCTGGCGATCCTAGAAAAAGAAAAGCTGATTTTATGGCTCAATATTGTTAAAACTATCATCTAAGAGAAGGAACATAATTGGGAGGTTCTAAGTTTTGTTATCTCTCTTGGAAGCATCTCCATAAAGATTGTAGGTTCATTCGGATCAAACATCAAACCCACATATGGAGAAAAGAAAAAGGATAACAATATCACATACCTTTAAAAAAAAAAAAAGAATGAAGATAAACATAAATTTTTAATAATCAAATATCAAGTGTAGAGCTAATTCATCTAACAGTCAAAGACTTAAAATCGCTTTCACTCCTCCATTTATTATTAATCCACCGCAAAATCCTATTCAACAATGTACAATTTAATGATATCAACCGAAATAATAACTTCACTTACTTAATTTAAGAGAAGTACCTTCTGAAGATATGTCATCAGCGACAGACCTCTTCTTCTCTGGAATAACAAAAGAATACTACAATGTCATAGAGGGAGACACTAGGAAAAAAGGATTAGCATAGAAATAGTTGAGGACTTGATACCATAATATGAAAACAAATTGTGATGTGCCATATATGAAGCTACTTCAGTTGTCTCTTCATTTTTCTTCCTTTTCTTTCTTTTCATTATTCTGTCTCTTTGAGTGTGACTTGAGAATCCTGTTGACTTCACATCAAAATCTTCCGTTGAGAATTGCTCATAGACAGACTGCTTTCTTTGATCATATAATGCAAGTTCCCTATCATATTTAGACGATTGAGACTGAAGTTTCCTAATTTTCAATTCTAACCATCTACACCGCCACGTCACAGGACTTATAAACTTTTTCCAGTGATCTGTCAACTTTTTCTTCCTGTAAAGTAAAATACATATATTAACACGTGAATATCACATGAAGTTGTGATAAAAGATAACATATTTGAGAAAAACCTTGACTTTGATTCTACAAGTCAAATTTTTTTTTGCCTTGTTCTTGCAATGTCAGCCTTGCAAGGTGAAAACGAATAAAGTCTTTAACATTTTTAGGAATGGAATAGGCAAGTGTGCCCTAACCCATGAGTCAAAACTCAATGAAGTTAAATAAAGCTAGTTGACTCGTATTTCTCCTACAAAAAATGCATATTTCAAAAGATTTACAAATTTAGAAAGACAAATTCAATTCAGTTTGGCTTGACTTCACATGGCTTAGCTTTTTCTGTTCTTTTTTCTTTTGGGGGGGGGGGGGGGGGGA